AGCCCATTTTGTTTCCAGCACTTTATTCTCTTGCTCAAGGAAACGCACCTGGAGGTGGTATACAAATAAGTAAATATTCCTCTAGACTAGTTTGTTTGCAGGACTGTAACTACCCATGCAATTCTGTACATCACCAATGCTGCAATTGTCATCGCAGAAAGTACCCCACTATTGCATAAATACTTCTAATAGACACTTTGAAATGAGACAAATTGCAATTGTAGATGAATGAGTGAATTCAGGAATGAGTGAATGAACTCTAAGCCTACTTAGAGCATCATCTTGCACACACTTTGAGGGTGAGATTTACCTCTTCCTTATCCCACATTACTCATCATGACCTAATTCTTTCTCCAACTCTGCTAAAGTTTTTTTTCCGAGCAAGAACTACATCATATCTGCATATTTTATATTTCTAGGCTAAAGGGTCATAGCTATGTGTTTCAAAGCAGTGTGATTCATGGTTGCTAGCTAGGAAAAAAGATTCAGTGGCTCCAAATTCCACAGAATTCCATACGTTGCAAGAAATACAAGGCATGCATAATGGGACCTCAGAATCATGCCTTCTCAATGGCCGCCCTAACCTTTTGGAACAGCCTCCCAACTGAGATGTGAGGGATCGATCCCTAACCCTTTTTAACTTCTGGAGGGTTGAGAAGACATGGCTCTTTCCCAACACATTGGGCTGGGGGTTGAGTAGTGTGGAAGATTCTCTGGCACCTTTCTTTTCACTACATTTTTTTAGGGATTGTTGTGAGCAACCTAGAGTTAACATATGAGACAGGTGGCCATGTAAGTCCCATAAATACATAAACAAACAAAAAAATAACAAATAAAGTTTGATTAGACCTTATTTTCTCACCACTAATGTATAGTGAAAAACTCTATTGACATACTGAGATTCATTTCAGAGAAATTACAATCTAAACTTTAGAAACTTTTCCAATCTCCCTTTTTTCAACAGGGAAAAAAAAAATCCCCATGACATTCCTCTCGTCAAGTTGCTGTTGCAAGCAAGAACATCAAAACCAGGCAAAATTGGCAGCTCTGTAATCTCCTCTGGCTGGTGCCAGCCAGTGTTAAATAACAGCTGTGATGAAATTAGTGAAAATTGTGAGAGGAGCTGGAGGAAGGCTCTTGAGCTCTTTGCCCAATTCACTGCAACCTGAAATAACAAAAGAAAATATTCATTTATTCTCACCTTATCTATGAAGGAGGCAAACTTGTTGTTGAGTATCTTGATCTGCTCTCCTTCTTCTTTGCGAACCTTCTCTATGGTGGGGTCAATCTCCAGTTTGAGAGGCGCCAACAGGTTGGGATTGACAGTTACTTTTTGGATTCCGCCTGGTGGGCAAACTGGGAAGCAAGAGTCCCCTCTCCCTCCACCAAAACCAGCCCTGCCTAGCCCATAGCCTCCACCAATACCACCACCAACAGCATAGCCATTAGAAACTCCACCACCGTACCCATAGCCTCCACCGAAGCCACTGCCATAACTGCCTCCAACTGCAATTCTCCTGGGCCCACCAAGATTGTAAAGGCTTTGGCTGCCAAAACCAGCCCCACCAGCCCGGCCCCAGCCAGCACCGCCAGTGCCACAGCTTCCACATCTGCCCACGCTTTGTGAGCTCCAGTTGGGGCGACACAAGTTAGGTAGGATGGCAGATGAGTTACTGAAGCCTCTCCTCTGAATTCTGATGTTGGCTCGGTGAGACATTTTAGTCGGTGAGGAGCTGAAGCAGAAAGAGGCAGAAAGAAAGGACACAGTCTGTGAAGCAGAGGCAGGTGTAGTGCTTTCTTCTCTTATATATATTGTCAAGGAAGTGGGATTGGTTGTTATTGCACTTGATCATCTTTCTGAATAAATATTGCTGGGTATGCCCTAAGGCTTTTTTAAAAAAAATATGACATCGCTGTTTTGCCATGCACGCTCCACACTAAGGCTAAATGGTGGTGCAACCCTCTAAGTCCAGGGTTCTCCATGTTTTCTTGCTTGTGGCCCCCTTCTGAGGCTCATTTATCTCTGGCT